TTTGCTTTAGAAGAAGATGGTTTCATTTTCCCCAAAACCCAGGTACTGCCTAGGGTTGGTTTGGCATAGGCAAGAGAGCAATAAAATAATGTACATTCAGCCTTGCTTATTGTGCAGACACTGAAGCAATGCTGAGGCAACACAGAAACTGCTGTGAATGTCAGCAGCTTTGTCCAAAGCTGCTGGGAGAGGCAGAGATGTGTTCAGGGCTGTGATGTAGTGCTCACCTTATCCCTCATTAGGTCCTCATTACATAACACAGCAGCACTTCTAGGGTGCATCCACACCATATCCTTGCCTCTTAGTCACCCTCCTTGCTTGCCTGAGGTATGTGCACCTCAAAATGCATGTAGCAAATTGGATTCTGAGTTGAAGCCCAAGAAATAAATACCTTCTTGTAAACCATTGTGACCCACCCGTGTGTTGCCTGTGAGGATGCAGGCTGGGGAACAGCAGGTCTGAAGCAGAAAAAGAAATGTCAGATTGGCTGGAATCATGAAATAAAGCCAGAAAGGGAAAAGTGTTCCATTCATACCTCTGCCAGCAAAATTTGAAGAAGATGGTTTCATCTGTTTGATTTCCAAATGAGCCAAGATTCAAACATGCAGCATCACTGAAGTCTTGTTCCTACCTTTCAGTTTCCTGAAAATCTCGTTTCTCTATACCCCCAATATTTCATGTTCAAATCACAGCACAGATCCTATCTGCAGAATCTGCAAGACTGAAAAAACTTCACAACCAGAACAGCAGGTACAGACAATCACTGTAATCAGATCTAGCTGAGACCAGGTACCAGCAGTGATACATCATGTCAGCTTAAGCAAGAACAAAAAAAAGTCTGCCCAAGGCTCTCAGTGGCCTAACACATCTCAGGTATGATAAAATCTCAGCAGTATTAAAATTATTCTACTTAGCAGCTCCAAAACCTCCTCAATAATCATCCATTGTTATGGGGCTACCTGTAGCCCTTTGGTGGAGACAGAAAAGTCCATCTCCAGCCTTTCAGTGAGAGGAATACTGCCTCTTCTCAGCAGGTACTGCTACTGGCAGCCTCAGTGAAAACTAATTTCCTGTCTCCCTTCAAGGAAAATGAACTTTGGAGTCCCCAGGATCAGCCAGAAGATAGGTGGGGACCAAGTTAGTATGACCTCTTAGTCAAAGCATTTTTCTAAATCAGGACAGAGATGCTGAGTGGCTGTTATTTGAGCATTTGTTTTCCTCTGCTTTTCCTATGCTTTCCCTTCACCTGTGAGAGGAGTTCCTATACTTCTCCTTTTGCAGCAACTTGCCCTGCAGAAGAACATCAGCACCTGCCTTGGGACTGCACTGGCACACAGAACCCAGACCTCAGAGCAGAATTTGGGATACAGCAGAAGGTCTTTTGCCCAGTTTCTGGCTATTAACTGCTGGCCACAACACCACTAAGATCCCACTGCTGCTCCAGAGGCGCTGGCTGGGTTGTCTGGTGCAGAAGGGAGTACCAGGTCAGAGATCCTGGCCAGTCCTGAGCTGATTGTGTCTCTCAGCTACAAAAAGTGGCTGCCAAGATCAGCCAAGCTCAGCAGGGTGTGTGGGTGACAGCCTTCTCCTCAGGGCCAGCAGCTCTGAGCTCAGCAGAGACCTGCTGCACTCAGGTCTGCCTCGGTCTCTGCATGAAAGACCCAGAGCAGCAGCTGGGATAAATTGCCCAAATTCAGCTCAACAGTGACTCAAAAGCCAAGGGAGACACTGAGAGGAAGTCTTGACTCCCTCAAAGGCAGAGGCTCTGCAGGGAGACCTAACAAATTGCAGGGCTGGGCAATCACCAGCTGTGTGATGTTTAACAAGGGGAAGTGCTGATTCTGGGCATGGGACAGGGCAGCCCTGGGTGTATGGATCAGGGAATGAGAGGCTGGGACAGTCATGGAAAGGGCCCTGGGTGTCCTGGTCAATGGCAACCTGAACACCTGCAGTGCCCTGGCAGCCAGGATGAGTGCCTGGGCCCCTCATGTCCATGATCCAGGCACAGCATCACCAGTCAGGCAAGGGAGGGGATTGTCCCACTCTGCTGTAAGGGATTGTCCCACTCTGCTGTAACTCAGAACCAGCTCTTCTTCCTTCCCTCCAGGCAGCTGCTGGGCAAGAGCATTTGTTCTCACCATAAGCCATACATACCCACAAATGTAAACTAAGCAGGGACACCAGATACAGAAGGTGGAGATGGCTTATTTTGCCACCACTGGTGCCCTGTGATGCCCTGTGACAGGGCCCATGTACTCTGTCCCTTTAGGCTGTGGTCACCACATTCACAGCACTCTTAATCTGTAGGGAGTGAATCAGCTCTGCTTCCTCCTAGGGCACCACAAGCAGTGATGGCAGAACCCATGCTTTGCAAACCACACAGCAAAGCCTGGCTTATCACAGGCCTCAAACTGCTAAGAATTATCTC